TCGGTCGTGGGGCCTGAACTCTGGGCCTGGGCGCTGTCCCTCAGCTCTTCAGCTCAAGGCGAGCGCTCTACCACTTGAGCTACAGCGCCACTTCTTGTTTCTTGGTGGTTTATTGGAGATAGGAGTCTCACGGTCTCTCCTGCCCGGGCTGGCCTTGAACCGCGATCCTCAGATCTCAACCTCTGAGTAGCTAGGTTTACAGGCGTGAGCCACCGGCGCCTGCACACCTGCTTTTGTAGAGGTTCTGCTTGCGTAGGAAGAGGCGGGAGTATGCGACCGCCAATGTCGGGTAAGGAGGCGCTGACTCCCTCCAGTCCAGCGATCCTGAGGTGAAACCGAGTGATGGGCTCCGGGGCTCAGTCCTGCCGCTCACCTGGCTGAAAGCAAGGCCCGGACTGAGGCCGGCGACGAAGCGGCAGGGAGAGAGATGCCGGCCCGGAGGCCGCAGGTGGAGAAAGGCAGGAGAGGAGGCTGCAGGTAGTAGAGAGGCGGAGAGGAGGCTACAGGTAGATAAAGCCCGGCGAGGAGGCTGTAAATCGACATGATTGTCCTAAAGGTTGCATCGTGGAATTTCCAAGGAATAACAGGACTGTGTGGCTAAACCTCAGGGCATTTACAGATGGCAGTGATCCAAAGGAGTCAGGCGTGGTGGTTTGTGTCACTCCACTGCCCTTCCTTTTCTTCTACCATTGTAGGTTCCTGCAGCCTCTCTGGGCACTATGGGATTTCCTATCAGATGAGTTTCACAGTCTCTTGGCTACTGCTAACAGTGGTGGGGAATTCTGGTTGACATCCGTAAGATGACTGTCACCGAACTTTGACTTCTGTTCCTTCTTTTCCTTTTTTTTTCTTTTTTTTGGCCAGTCCTGGGGCTTGAATTTAGGGCCTGGGCAGTGTTCCTGGGCTTCTTTTGCTCAAGGCTAGCACTCTACCACTTGAGCCACAGTGCTACTTCTGGCGCTTACCATTTATGTGGTATTGAGAAATTGAACCCAGGGCTTCATGCATGCTAAGCAAGCACTTTACCACTAAGCCACATTCCCAGCCTGTGAGTTTCCTTCTTGCAGACTGTTGTCACAAAAGAGTGCAGAACAGGTATTTCTTACATTCTAGAGGCTGGAAGTTTCGGTGGTTCCTTCTGAGGTCCCTTTCTCTCTCCCTCTCTCCTTCCTTCTCTCTCTCTTGCTATTGTTGCTTTATTATTTTTATTTTTTGGTGGTACCAGGGTCTGAATTCAGGGCCATGGTCATTTAATTGGCACTCTACATCTTGAGTCATGTCCCCAGCCCTGCTTTTTGTTGGTTATTTTGGAGATGGAGTCCCACAGTCTTTTCTGCTCTGTCTGGCCTCATACTGTGATCTTCTTTATCTCATCCTCCTTGTAACTAGTGGTGAACCACCAGGATTTGGCTCTGTGTGTGTGTGTGTGTGTGTGTGTGTGTGTGTGTGTGTGTGTGTGTATTGAGGTGAAGATCTTCCTGCCTCAGCTTTTCCAGTGCTGGGGATACAGATGTAGCCATCACATCTTGCTCTCTTGTCCTTGTGTCTTCACATGGTCGTCTTTTCCTGTGTTTCTCTATCCTAATCTCATAGGGCCTCCAGTTAGGATTAGAGGTTATAATTTTACCATCATCATCTCCTTCAAGAGATAACTTCACATTTTGAATTCCTGGAAAACACAAATTTGACGGTAGGGACAGAATTCAGCTTATGACACTTTTCTCAGGCTGCGTAGTGTTGTTAAGTCCCCTCTGGCTTTGGGTCTTGGTGCCCCAACTCTAACAATGAGTGAGTTGAACCAAGGGCTCCTCCACCGCGATGCTGCTCTGTGTGATGTCATCCACTTGCCCCTTCCTCCCTTCAGGTACCTGAAACTGATGTGTGCACCCCTTCGGTGTCAGAGGTTCCACACTGTTCCTCGTCACTACAAGGGCCGGACAGGCGCTGAGCACCTGTGGCTCATGCGCCACCTAAAAGACCCATTTGTGAAGGCTGCGAAGGTGGAGAGCTACCGCTGCCGAAGTGCTTTCAAGCTTCTGGAGATGAACAAGAAACATGAGCTCCTGCGGCCTGGACTTCGGGTGCTAGACTGTGGGGCAGCTCCTGGGGCCTGGAGCCAAGTGGCGGTGCAGAGAGTCAATGCTGTAGGCACAGGTGGGGCCTCCATGCTACCTACTAGCTGCCTCAGGGGCACCAGTGAGCTGTCCTCTGCAGTGGACACAGCATTGAAGCCCCTTTGTACAGGCCCATATATTGTAGTTGGTTGTTTCCTAGCAATGGTTATAAAATTAGGATACTTGTGTATTAAATCAAAGACAAAGTAGAAAGATATAATCAAGAGGAAAGGAATGGGCATGACTCAAGTGGTAGAGCACTGGTCTAACAAGCTCAAAGTCCTGAGTTCAAACTAATGTTAATTAAAAAAAGAAAGGCTCAGGTGTAGGCAAATAAGTCTACTAGAATGTTTTTTCTTTCTTCTTTCTTTTTTTTTTTTCTTGTGAAGAAAAGCTGGACTCTGTGGCTCTACCGGAAGCCTAAAGTATGCAGATGTGGCTCTGGCCAATATGATGGTTGGTTAAGCAATACCATATCCTAAAAACAATCAGTGAAAAACAGGGCTGGGAAGCCCAGGCTGGTGGCTCATGCCTGTAATCCTAGCTATTCAAGAGGCTGAGATCTGAGGATAGTGGTTTGAAGTCAGCTCAGGCAGGAAAGTCTGTGAAATTCTTATCTCTGGTTAACTACCAAAAAGCCAGAAGTGGAGCTGTGGCTTAAGTTATAGAGCATTAGCCTTGAGCAGAAAAGCTAAGGGACAGTGCCTGGTCCTGAGTTCATGTCCTAGGACTGGTATACACACAATGAAAGAACGAAAATAGGGCTGTGAGTATGGTTCAGTGGTCGTGAGCATAGCAAGGGGGAGGCCCTAAGTTTAGACCCTAGTAACACCTCCCCCCCTTAAAAAAATGCCCCCAAACCATTCACTTGAGCCTTAGGTAGTGAGATGACTGGAGAGTGGGAGTCAAAAGTCTTAGTTGTAGCTCTGACTTGGCTTGCCACTCAGTGTAACTGGGACAGACATTTCCTTCTGGGCTTCAGTCCCCTGGACAGTGCAGGAAGGGCAGCTCCCCTGTCTGTTTCTTTAGCTGGTGGGAAAAGGCCTCGTGTCCATGTTCATTTCACTCTGTGGCCTGTGTTTCTCTAAGACATAGGGCAAGTGACACCTGGCTGGTTCTTCCGTAGATCCCAGCTCCCCGGTTGGCTTCGTGCTTGGGGTGGATCTTCTCCACATCCTTCCCATGGAAGGAGCAACTTTCCTGTGCCCTGCTGATGTGACTGATCCAGAGACTCTTCAGAGAATCCTAGAGCAGCTTCCTGGCAGGAGGGCAGATGTGATTCTGAGTGATATGGCACCCAATGCTACTGGGATCCGGGCCCTGGATCATGACAGGCTCATCAGCCTGTGCTTAACTCTTCTGGACATGGCTGCAGACATTTTGTCTCCAGGGGGAACAATGCTTTGTAAAACCTGGGCAGGGAGTCAAAGCCAGCAGCTTTTGAAGAGACTGGCCAAAGAGTTCCAGCACACAAGGATTTTGAAGCCTGAGGCCAGCAGGAAAGAATCGTCAGAGGTATACTTTTTGGCCACACAGTACCGTATGAGGAAGAGTCCTGTGAAACCATGAGATGTCTCCTGCCGTTCTTGGGAAGGCTCCTGGGTTCTCAGCACCTGTGAATGTAGCGGCGGGGCTTTCCTGATGTGTGGCTGGAATCAGCCTTGCTGGAGATGAGCAGGACCATGGGAGTCATTTTCCTGTTTTTAACCAAAACGATGACAGAGAAGCTTGATGCAATTGGCTTATACTTGTAATCCCAACTGTCCAGGAGGCTGAGCTCTAAGGATCCCTGTTCAAAGCGTGCAAAGTCTGGGCAAAAAGCTGGAAGTGGAGCTCCAGTGGTAATGCACAAGCCTTGGACAGAAAAGCTATGGGGCAGCACCCACGCCCTTAGTTCTAACCCCAGTGCTGACACAAAACAACAAAAGGCAAATTATATTTATATATACATACACACACACACACACACACATATATATATATATAAAACAATATGCAGAAAGGCCAACGATGCAGCCTTCTATATCATGCTTAATCTCTTTGTTTTTGGATATAGAGCTTTACTATGGCCAAGAAATTATCCTTCCACCTCAGCCTCCTGAGTGCTGGGATTACAGATGTGTCCTCCCATGCCCAGTTCATGTCATGATTTTTGAATAGGAAGTTTGTCATTAGAAAGATGGGGAATGAGAGGCTGGAAGGTGGCTCAGTGGTAGAGTGCTTACCTTGTATGCATGAGGCCCTTGGTTTGGTTCCTCAGCACCACATAAGCAGAAAAAGCTGGGAGTGGCGCTTTGGCTGAAGTGGTAGAGTGCTAGCCTTGAGCTGAAGAGCTAAGGGACAGCGCCCAGGCCCAGAGTTCAGGCCCCACAACTGACCAAAAAAAAAAAAAAAGAAAGATGGAGAATGAGAGGCTGGGAATGTGGCTTAGGGGTAGAGTGCTTGCCTAGCATGCATGAAGCCCTGGGTTTGATTCTTCAGTACCACATAAACAGAAAAAGGTGGAAATGGCACTGTGGCTCAAGTGGTAGAGCACTAGCCTTGAGCATAGAAAGGCTCAAGGACAGTGCTCAGGCCTTGAGTTAAAGCCCCAGGATTGGCAAAAAAAAAAAGAAAAAAGAAAAAGAAAAAGGAGAATGAAAGTTGTGAAGAAACAGAGGAAGGGAAGCTAGAAATGGGTCTCTTGGACTGACTGGAGTTATAGCTCAGTGGGATGAGTCTTGTCTAGCACATGCCAAGTCCTGTGTTCTGTCCCTAGGACTGCAAAACAAGTAAGAATCCCCAAACCTGAATTTGCTGAGTTTCCTAGGCACATGGACTCAGCATATTCCAGGAAAATAGGCGTTCCTTTTCAGTTCTTATAACACAGTAGAGCTTCTCACAATAGAAAACCCTGAAATTTACATCTGGGGATTACTATCCATGTCTGAATAATCTGGAAACACATCCACTCTCCAAGCAGTGGGAGTTCCCAGAGCAATTAGAAGAGGCATTTGGTAGGAATTTATGCATGGTGTGGGTGTACTTTGGCTCTTATTGGAAGTATATATTGTAATACTCCGGGCTCCAAAGATCATAAAGCTAATTGCCAAAGCAAGCAGCGATGTTCTGTGTTCATTCATCTTTCACTGCTTTATGAACTCCATGGTGCTTTTTGAAAGAATACTACATAACCCCCATGACCCTAGTCGTTTGCGGTCCCAGAGTTGGGTCCTTCTGGTCTGTCCCACTGGCCATATGTTTTCCTTTATGGTTCATTTTTGGCTAATTCCAAACTACTTCCTGACCTCCCCCTAAACTCGGTGCAGTTCCTGGCTCCATTAACTTGGAAAATGGAGAAGACAACGCAGATCCTTGGACACATCACCTTCTAAGCTGGGCAATGGAGAAAGGAGAAATAAGTGGCAGGTTCAAGTGGGAACTGTTGCAGTACCTCAGGGCTGAGCTCATTTTCACTCCAAGGGATGCTGCCCAAACGAGGCCCGGACTCCACGGATGGGGAGGTGGTTTGGAAGCCTGTTTGCTTTTCCTGTGGGCCCAGGGAAAAACAATTCACTAAGTTCAGTAAGACATCATCGTACCAAGGGATGCTAAGATTTCCATGGGGTTGGAGACGTCCATCAGGTGGTGGGGGGCCTGACAATAAGCGCAAAGCGTCAGCGAGTTCGAGTCCCGATCTCAGACGGAAAAATCAAAAAAGATTTCCAAAGGTTTGTTTTCAGGGGCCCGGGTTTGTTCGGTGCTATTTTACACTTTACGGTGCAGGGCAGCCACCAAGCGGAACCGGGACCCGCGGTGCGGGCCGGGCGGCCAGACCCGACAGGGGTGCGGTGCGGCCTGCTGTGCGGGGGTGCACTCAGCCTTTGATCCAGTCTCCTCCGCGCCAGACTCCGGTTAGCCTGCGGCTCCGAACACTGCGCTGGGCCGTAAGCAGTGCGCTCGCTTCGTCGGTTCTTTACGGCCGGTTCCTATTAAATCTCGCGAGAGCGCAAGCGTGAATCTCGCGATAGGTGGGCGCGGGCGGAGCGGAGGGAGATCCGAGCAGCGGCGGCAAGCCGAACGCAGAGCGGAGGAGCCGGCGGCTGAGGTGAGCCACGTCGGGTCGGAAACGCCATCCCGCGCGCACGCTGGGGGCTGGCCGGGCCCGACCCCGGAGCTGCCCCGCCGGGGTCGGCCACTGGTGCCTCCCCCTTCTGCAGTCTCTGCACTCCTAGAGCCACGAAATGCGCGCCCTGCGCCGCTGGCACCCGGGACGCAGCCTCGGGCCCCGTTACCCACCCGGCCCTCGGCCCCTCGTCCCGGGCTGCCCCGAGGCCCCCGCCGGCTCGGACCCCTCGCCCCGTGATGCCCCGAGACCCCCGCCGGCTCGGACCCCTCGCCCCGTGATGCCCCGAGGCCCCCGCCGGCTCGGACCCCTCGTCCCCGGCTGCCCCGAGACCCTGGCCATCCGTGTCGGCCGCCTCGTCCTCCAGATGCTCAGCTTGCGCGTTATGGGCTTGTCACTCCGCCTTCAAGGGGTCCCGCTCGGCGCCAGGGGTCCCCGGCCGGGACTGGCGGAGTGGAATGTGTCTGCAAGTAGACTCACTCGGGACCCTCGCGGCCAGGTTGTCGGTGCAGGCTTCCTGGCCACTGTGTAGATAACCATTTTATTTATTTATTTATTTTTGGTTGGTCGTGGGGCCTGAACTCTGGGCCTGGGCGCTGTCCCTCAGCTCTTCAGCTCAAGGCTAGCACTCTACCACTTGAGCCACAGCGCTATTTCTGGCTTTTTTCTTTTTGCTTATGTGGTGCTGAGGAATCGAACCCAGGGCCTCATGCATGCAAGGCAAGCGCTCTACCACTGAGCCACTTCCCAGCCAACCATTTTATTTTTTAAAACAGGGAGACAGCGTCTCATTCTGTAGCCCAGCCTGGCTTTGAACTTGTGATTCTCCTCTATGTTGGGATTACAGGAATGCCCCACCACGCTGGGCCCACTTCTTTAGTTTTTTTTTTTTGTTGTTGTTGCCTGTCGTGGGGTCTGAATGCTGTCCCTGAGCTCTTCAGCTCAAGGCTAGTGCTCTACCACTTGAGCCACAGTGCCACTTCCTGCCTTTTTCTGCTTATGTGGTTGTGAGGAATCGAACCCAGGGCCTCATGCATGCTAGGCAAGCACTCTACCACTGAGCCACCTTCCCAGCCCGGGTTGGTTTCCTTTTGTGGAGGTGGAAGGACAGTGTGCTTGATTCCCAGTGTTCTGTTCAGGGACTCTCCTAGGCAGTGGCCAGGAGCGGCTGCAAGGTTTAAGTGTTGATGAAATGGGCAGTGCAGCCTGCACTGGCACCTGGTGGCAAGACTGTGGAGTGATCTGTTCTGGAAGTTGAAAATGCTCTACTCTTTGTTCTGGTGGCTTAGTCAGGCAGGTGTCAGGGTCTGGAGGATCCATCCTCATCTACTCTTGGTAATGGAAGGATTTGGGCTTGGAAGGTATGGTTCAGCTGCCTTAATCACTCATAGATCTGTTTCCAGCCTTCTCATCCCTTTTTTTTGCTATGTTCTGTGTGTGAGGAGTACCTGGTGAAGTTCTTGTTAAGTGGGAAATGCAGAGGCAAACTAAGATTCTTCTTTTCTTGAGAAAGGGTCTTACTGGATCTTGATTTTCCTACCTATGCCTCCCAAGTTGCTGGGATTACAGGAATGAGCCACTATGTCCAGTTTAAAAATCTTTTAAAATATCCTGGTGAGAGAACGTTTTAGGACAAGTTTCTTAATATCCCATTCCAACCTTGTTGATTAGCTCAGCTTCTTTTGCATTCTGATTTTTTTCATTAACTTATTGAAGAGGGGGCAGGAAAGAATAACCAGATCCTGCAGTGGCCACAAGAATTACACATCTGACCTTACCTTTGCTCTTCTTTGCTTCTAGCTCTGTTCTTCTAGCTCAGACTATTCCCTGAACAGCCAAACACGCACCAGCCTCAGGACCTTTGCAGTAGTGCTTGGCTCCGGAACTCCCTCCCTTACCTTTTTTTTTTTTTTGTCGGTCGTGGGGCTTGAACTCTGGGCCTGGGCGCTGTCCCTCAGCTCTTCAGCTCAAGGCGAGCACTCTACCACTTGAGCTACAGCGCCACTTCCGGTTTTTTGGTGGTTTATTAGAGATAGGAGTCTCACAGTCTTTTCTGCCCGGGCTGGCTTTGAACCGCGATCCTCAGATCTCAGCCTCCTGAGTAGCTAGGATTACAGGCGTGAGCCACCGGCGCCCGGCTTTCCCTTACCTTCTTAACATGTCAACTGTGACCTCCTCAGTGTTGCCTGTTTTACCCCTCCTATTTAAAATGGTAGCTTCTGGCCAACTTCTAGGACTCCCTGCATCCTCCTGTTTTATTGTTATTCATATAACACATAAGGCCACCTGACATCTGGCGTGGTTTTTTAAAAATGGATTTTGTGTTTTGTGGGTATGTTTTTAGCGTAATGCTTATGGGAAATCAATCAGAGCTGCCTCTTTCTTTCTTTTTCTTTTTTGGGTCCGGTCGTGGGGCCTGAACTCTAGGCTTGGGCGCTGTCACTCAGCTCTTCAGCTCAAGGCTAGCACTCTACCACTTGCCACAGCGCCACTTCTGGCTTTTTTCTTTTTGCTTATGTGGTGCTGAGGAATCCAACCCAGGGCCTCGAGCATGCAAGGCAAGTGCTCTACCACTGAGCCACCTTCCCAGCCCCAGAGCTGCCTCTTTCTAAGGGAGGGTTGGGTAACTTTTTTTTTTTTTCTGCCAGAAGCCATTTGGATATTTATAACAACATTCATGAGTCATGCAGCCTTATCAATTTAGTCAGGCATTAGTGATTTCTGTCTGAAATCCTAGCTGTTTTGGAGGCTGAGATTAGAAGATCTTAATTTGAAGCCAGAAAAATCCAAGAGACTCTTAAATCCAACTAATGAGCAAAAAGCTAGAAATAGTAGAGATGTAGTTCTGGGAGTGAAAAAGTTGAGTAAGAACAGGAGGCTCTGAGTTCAGGCCTTAGTACTGGCATAAAAGAATAAAATGAAATAATTAGCAACTTAAAAATTAACCTGCTGTATTTGATCAAGCATCTTCACTCATGCCTGATATGACAGCTACTTCTTGTGTAAAGTGTGTCACATTAGGTGGTACTGAAGATGTTGCTACTCACATCTGCTTTTCCAGGTTTGCATAGATCAGTCTGGAGCTTGGTCAGCTTTTGCTCTGAAAAGAACTGCTTGCAGTAAGTTCTTCCTGACATATTTTACAATGCCTGTCTCCTCAAAGTGAGAAATGTATCACTGCTTATGTAACATTTATAGAACTCAGGCAGTGGGAGGTTGCTGTGCCTCACTTTCAGCTCTTTATCGCAGTGTAGTGGAATGATTTTGTGTTGTAGGTAATCAGACACGTCACTGAATTCTCTGATGGGATTTCCCTTCATCTCCATGAACTGTACGACTTCTTCTCACACTTTGTAAAACCTTATGAGCATATTCCTGTGACTCAGTCACTGCACTTCATAGTGATCACAACACTCAGGCAAAATCATCCAGAAACTTCTTAAACTGGCCGCTGTTAAACCCTCTGCTTTTGACAAAATGTATGCATGATACTACTGATGATGACATCACATTGTTGAGCTGCAGCACCTGTGCACTGAGATGTTCTTGATGTGTGATGCAATGGTGTAGAATCAACATTACTGGGATCAGGACTGAGGCGGTTTAATTTTTCCTTCTGAAATGCAATTAACCTTCTTTTCAAGCCACCCATGGCTGGAGCTCCATCTCTATTAAGGCCACTTAAGTTTTCAAACATCTGCTCAAGGTTTCTTAGTGATAAAGCAAGCCTCTTGCAGTGCCATGCATAGCTTTAGTGATAGCAGTTCCTCTCACCTGCCAAACTGCAGTTATCCCACGAATGAAGATGGGTAGTTGGGCAGAATTTGTCTGTTGATTTTGTCACAATCCAGAGAAAAAGCCAGAATTTTCCTGCAGAATCCTTCAGTTTCCTCAGAGTTTGTACCAAATTAGTGATATGCTGTGAGATGGTTTGGAGACAAATTAACACTATGAGACAGTGAAACAGTGTTGGTTTGCTGTTAACAATGCCCAGTAGCCACACATACCTTTTGTAAGCCCTCCGCTTCTGTACAGTTAGCTCACTTACTACATAACCCATCTGAGTAACAATGTCTGTTTCAATGAGCACCTAGAGCAAGAGGCTTATTATGATGCCAAACTCCTCTGAAGAGTGTTAACTTTGTCCAGACACAAGTTTTGAGCTTGAATGGTGCTCTGGATTGGCTTTTTCCATTATTGCTAACATAGCCATAAATTAGGCAGACAGGTTTGCATTTGACTTCAACAACAACAAAAACCCATTAGTCCATTTCTCGTGCAAAGATTCATACTCTATTAACTTTTCTTTGTAGTAGCTACTTGTAGGATGTCACACCATTTAAGCTTTAATAACTAATTAGGGTGTCACAAGCAGGGGATTTTTTTTTTTTTTTTTGCTTTGGTTACTGTTCTAATCCTGCATCTTGGATTTAGAAGATATTCAGTGTTCATATCATTGACTCTTGAAGTCATTCTGAATACTGGAATTTCCTTAATCTTCATGCTGAGGTTCAGTTTTTGTGAGGCTTGTTGGTTGTGGATGTGTAGATACAGGGGTGGTGGACTGTTGTTTATGTATAATCACTGCCCTTGTTCTGCCGCTGCCCATTTTGTGTCTTATTCCCAGAGGCCATAAGTTTTGTGGGTGTGTCTGTGAGGGATGTTCCACGGGCTATTGATCACCTCTTTCTGTGGCCTTCTAAGTGTCTGGGGTGCAGGCTGGGCCTTGCACAAGGGCTTGGTGGCACACTTGTATGCCTCATTTCCTCTTGGAAATGGACAATTCTGGTTCTCTGTAACTCTAGAGAGCATGGTTGTGGGCTTGGAGAGGGCTCTACAGGAGGGGCTTATGCAAAACTCTTCTGTCGGTGACAGTAGATGCATGTGGGAGGTTGGCTCTGACTTTTCTTTGCCTCTCAGAAGGACATTGGACATGGAAGACCAAGGGGAGAATACCACCGTCTTGTCCACCCTGAGGTCTTTGAACAACTTCATTTCTCAGCGAGTGGAAGGAGCGTCTGGCCTGGATATATGCAACACTGCCCCAAGTTCTCTGCAGATGATGTACCAGCAGAGCATGCAGGTAGATACTTGGGTTCAGAGGGGCTGGTCAAGGCCTGTAGAGCCTGTTGAGACAGATCAGTATGGCTGAGCCTAGTAGTCAGCTGTTGTCATCTGGGTGTACGCATGTATTTGGGTGATTGTTGGAGGCCATGGCATGTTCTGGACCATCCTTATGAAGGCTGCCTCACCCTGGTGAGCAAGTGCCCTCCTCCTGGTGAGTGAGTGTCCTCCTCCTAGTGAGTGAATGTCTTCCTCCTGGTGAGTGAGTGTCCTCCTCCTGGTGAGTGAATGTCTTCCTCCTGGTGAGTGCCCTCCTCCTGATGAGTGAGTGCCCTCCTCCCGTTGAGTGAGTGTCCTCCTCCTGGTGAGTGAGTGTCCTCCTCCTGGTGAGTGAGTGCCCTCCTCCTGGTGAGTGAATGTCTTCCTCCTTGTGAGCGAGTATCCTCCTCTTGGTGAGTAAGTGTCCTTCTGGTGAGTGAGTGTCCTCCTCCTGGTGAATGAATGTCCTCCTCCTGGTGAGTGCTCAGCATTGTGCTCCCACTTATGGACTTGGGAATTCTGATGACAGGCTTGGAGAATCTGGGATCTGAACCACCAGTGGGTCCTCCCCTTTTATGGGTAGGCTATGTTGTAAGCACAGGTGGCCATCAGCATCTGAGAAACCAGGCAGAGAAGAGGGACTGGGTATTTCACTACCTCAGCCTGTAGAGGGCCATTTGTATACTTTGGGGTGAGTTTTGACTGTATAGGTTTATCCTGATTTCAGTCCTGTTTGACTTCAAGTTCTTGGGAATTCTCATTAGTCACAAAGGGGTCAGGCCTCCTCAAGGATTCCAGACTGTGGAGAGTGGTGGGCTCAGCTTCAGTGGGGCTGGGTGCCTGGGCCTGAAGGGAGTGGTGTCTTGGCCTTTTCTGGATATCACTGCACTGACTACTGTACCAAGCCTCTCCATGGCTTCTCTGCTTGCCTCTTCTTTTTCTGTTTGCTCACTCCTCTATGTGCTCTGAAGCTATTCTGCAGGGATGTCCTGAAGCAGATAAGGTAGGGTTTTACAATGATGCTGGTGAGGTTTGTGTTCTTCAGCCTGCCAAGTGATGGAGTTAGTGTTTTTAGAACTCCATGTATACACTGCCTTTCTCAGCAAGGACTATCTTGTGAGTGTAGGTCTCCTATATTCTTCCTTTTTGGTGTTAAACACTTTTATGAATGATGCTGGTGATAGGTTATGATTGTTTCTGATTACTGGTAAAATAAGTTGGTAACTTTTATCTTAAAAACACTTACTGATGTAAATACCTGGGGATTTATGGCCTAGCTGTTGAAGTCAGAGGATTCTGGAATCTGACTTGGACTGCATGGTCCTCACTGCTCATTGTCAAGGGTTTCTTTTTCTTTTATTTTTTTGCCAGTCCTAGGACTTGAATTCAGGGCCTAGGCACTGTCCCTGAGCTTTTGCTCAAGCCTAGCACTTTACCACTTGAGCCACAGCACTTCTGGATAACGGTGAGGTAGGGTTGAGATGAGGTGAATGTAGGAATAAAGAAATATAGATCAGGGGCTGGGAAGGTGGCTCAGTGGTAGAGCGCTTGCCTTGCATGCAGGAGGCCCTGGGTTCAATTCCTCAGCACCACATAAGCAAAAAGAAAAAAGCCGGAAGTGGCACTGTGGCTCAAGTGGTAGAGCGCTAGCTGTGAG